TTTGTACAGCTTCATCGTACTCGTCCCTTGGTGTAACACCATAGTTCCAGTAAATGTAAGGTATCGTTTTCTGGCCAGGTGGGTGTGCTAACAAGACGAAATCGTCCGCGGTTATGTCGAGGTCCATCTCGATGATTTTGCCCGGGGCGTCAGCGCCATAGAAAGCACGCAAGGCCTCTGTGAACCTGGCCGTCGCGTCGGCGTCGTTGTCGATGGGAGGGCAGCTAGTAGCAGTCGTGATGCGCGGGCTCCTGGGGGAGTTGGCGGCCTGGCATTCCCCCTCGATGATGCGCCTAGCTGCCTCGATGGCCCTATGTTGGACGTCTTGGTTAAAAGAGCGGATGTCCACCTTGAAGTCGGCAAAATCCGGGATGATGCTAGCGTCTGTCCCAGCGTGAAAATAGCCGCAGGTGATGGCGCAGGGTTCTTTGAAGTCGATCTCTCTGGCAACGACCGTCTGCAGGCGCGAGATGATGCAGCTGGCCATAAGGATGGGGTCGATGCCCAGCTCGGGTGTCGATGAATGCGTACCCTTCCCGTACACGCGCACATCTAACGAATCCAGAAAGCCGAGGACGCGCCCAGGCCGGGTGCCAATGGTGCCGGCCCTAGTAGGGACGGCGTGTTGGCCCAGGACGATGTCAGGCAGCGGGATCTTTCGGAACAGCCCATCATCAATCATGGCACGGGCGCCCAGTAGCCGCTCCTCGTTGGGCTGGAAGAGGCAGATCAAGGTGCCAGCCCACTCATGTCTCGTCTTGTGCAGTAACTCGGCGGCACCCAGCAGGCTGGCCATATGCATGTCGTGGCCGCAGCCATGCATGACGGGCTTGGTCATGCCATCGACATCGACCTGTTCTACTTTGCTGGCATAGGAGAGCCCGGTATCTTCTGCCATGGGCAGGGCGTCCAGCTCCGAGCGAAGCAGGACCGTCCTCCCCTTCCCGTTGGCCAGGATGCCGACAACACCATGGCCCCCTATATGGGACTGCACCTCGAAGCCGAGGGACTCGAGGTGGCGAGCAACGATGGCAGCGGTGCGTGATTCTTGGCCCGGGAGTTCGGGGTATTGATGAAAGTCTTTATAGATAGCCCCGTACTTCTCCAGAGACGGAAATGATTTTTCGAAGACGGCGCGCAGCTTCTCGAATGAAGAGGTTTGGGATGGTCGAAGCTCCATGCTGGCCCACGATCCCATCTGCCGGTGACATGAACAGTGAGCACTAATGGTACCTCTGGGAGGGGAGGTAAAATTGAGCGGAAGTGGTTAACTAGGGTGAATAAGTTCCAAATCGAATGTGAGCTGCCGCTTCCTCGACGTGTGAGGCGGAAGTCGTCTGGCTACTGTACCTGGGAACGGAAGGGTAATGAAGGCAGGCCTTATTGAGATTATTCGAATAAAAGGAACATGTCCCAAATGTACTTATCACATGATCGTGGTCGCAAAAGCGCCTTCGCTTGGCCTAGTTTATAGGGAGCGATCAGACAAGCTGAAAGTATCCTCCCTTACTTACCTGAGGGTAGCTTTACTTTACAACTGAGCCTCCCGAGGGTATCTACAGGCGCCGCTCGATGCGTTGACACGTCAGTGTTTTAAGCATTTATGGCCATCAGTTTCCCCTTCGAGATATCCCTTTGGGGCCCATCTCGGCTCCGTAACCTTCTCGGGCCCTATAAGGTCCCTGCTAACAGTGGTGACATCAAGAGTACGCGATGTAATAAACCACTTATTGTTGACTCTTTGTTAGGACCTATCTAAAATAACCTTTCAATTTAAAATAACAATGCTACTTATGTTAAAGACCTTGCAATAAGGGGCTATGGCACCCTGCTAAATGTAGCGCTATGTAACGACTGTTCACGCAGTGACTCTTTTTATTATATTATATAGGTGATGCTTTAGGTACCAAAAGAATATTCAATATAATTGGCTGAATAATCCTTGCCAAATGTCACGGAGCCGAGATGGGCCCCAAAGGGATAGGAGTATCAACATCGAAGGCTTGTATCCAATGAATGAAAAGAGTAAACAATATGTTGATTTTACGCGCAGAGGCATATATTGTGGCCCGAGCCAATTACAAGAAAAAAAAATTTCACGGAAAACGCTGGCTCAGACGATCACAGCATGCTGACGCCGCCGAAGCACTCATCGCAATTTTGCAGGAGCCGTGGCCACTATCGAAGATAAGAACTCTAGACATAAGGACATCCTTGATCCAAAGCATCATTCACGAATTGTCGCAAATGGAGTTTTCGCCTGATACCATTGTTTCGCCCACAGATGAAGATCTGGACAGGGTATTTGCGTATTGTCCCGCTCCAGCCTCAGTGATCACATTCTTGCGCTCCAAGGGAGAAATAGTAGAAGAGAAGTGTACAACAGAGCAGGATTGGAACGCACTCATCGAAAAGGTACGCAATGGAATTCAATCCGGGTATCATCAAATTAACAAGACTTCTTCATAAAGAAACTTCCATCTATTAGCAGCGCCAATGTGGATTCAGGCTTCGTACTATTGTAAGTCACTCTTCAACACAGCTTCCCTGAGTTCTAACTCCAGGCCAGAGTAACGCCACGCAACTCGGGTTTGAAGAATCCCAAGCCCCCCGTGGCTCAAGACGACGACGATGAGAAGGGTCCTCAAGTCACCTGTGGCACCGCAGTTTTCGATAACATAGAGTCCCTTGGGTATGGAGGGAAGCGGTACACAAGAGTCTTGCCTTTCTCCACAAACACATTTTCGAGGATATCCAAAGCATTCTACATCCATCGTTCAATCTGTCCGACAATCAATCGTGCCGACATCCCTTTGTTCTCTCACGAAGAGTTCTTGGTTCAGGGTAAAATTTGCAAAGTTAAAGCTAGAGGTTTGTGATCTAATTACTCCTTGAATAAGTCATGCCACCAAGCTAATACGATAAAGTTTACAACTGCCGATCGACAAATGCCTGGGGCAGTGATCTTGCCATGACCGTCACCCACTTCCCCCACTGCAGGCTCACCTTCGGCATTCTTTTCGGTTGCACCAAGCCACAAAGGAAATATGTGCTAGAAAGACTTACACTTTCAACTCAAGAGTCAGATCATCCATTGCTTTTGCCAGGACTCTTCGCTGAGCTTGAGAAAAAGAGGCATCATGTTATATTTGAAGCCGGCATGGACGAGCTTGAATCCATGATAAGTGATACCGACATGGTAGCCATGCTCTGTCAGCGGCAGTCTGGAAATAATTCTAATGAACAGGGCAAACAAGCCGTTTATCTCAACATGTTGCATCTGAAGCATGGCTTAACCGCATGGAGCCAACAATTGGCGAAAATGCTAGACCACGCTTTCACCCTAAACTACGAATATAATGGATCATGGAATCAGTCACGGAGTCGCGCTAATGGTGAATCCTCTGGGAGTTCGGCAATATCCGTAAATCCGCTACCAGAAGATTCCCTATACCATCAAAACCCTTTCAACAGCAAAAAGTGCATCTGCGTCCAAAGCTCCCCTGAAATTATGGCTTTTAAGGACTCAGAACCAGTTCGTGAGGAGACGGAAAATAACCAGCCAAGCATGGCTAAGACTAACCTCAAGGTCATAAAGCGCGTCAGTGTCATATTGGAGGATTATAATGATAAGATCAGAGAATGCCAGACGAGATTTGACGGCCTGACAATGACCACGCAAATGGTAAGAATCCATCCCCGCCAGGATGAAATTCACATTTAGCTAATAGAAAAAATTGTAGTCCCAAGGTGAGGCAAGCGTGGCACTAGCCTTGATAACTAGCCAAGACTCGCGTCATATGAAAACCATAGCATTGGTAACGATGCTATTCCTCCCTGGAACCTTCTTTGCTGTAAGCCAATTATTTCACTCACCTATTACTATAAAAGTCCATGTAGTGACCGATCCACAGACAATATTCTCGATGACGTTTTTCAACTGGCAAGCCGGGGATGGTGAATCACCAGTGTCGTCGTTGCTCTGGATTTACATTGTCTTCAGTGCTGTGTCAACCGCCATCACGCTGATGGTGTATTATTACTTCGTAGCTTTACGCACGAAGAAGGGTTCAAATTCCCCTACAAGTGTATAGGAAGATAATTGAAATGGGACCTCGAACGGGACTTAGAATATGCAACTAGGATCACTGAAGAACCCCAGGGACGAAGTGAACGTAATCAGTATGTTAGTATCAGAAATGGAGAACTTAATTACTCTGGAGCATTCCATTCACTGCCTTCGCAAATTACTCGGTACTGAAAAGTTCACGATTGAGGTGCCTTTCTTCTCTTCTCGGACTGCGTACCATAATTGACTGAATTTAGATGCGACATGATGTGTACAAAATCAAGTCCGGAACGTCCATCGATGCCGTAAGTCTTTCCAAATGGATTGTATTCTTCCTAATTCGCAACAGTACAAGCTAATTCACGCAAATTACAGCAAGATCTCATTGCCCAATGTCAACACATAATCCCAAACCGAGATCCAGAGTATGGCACTGTAAACTCCCACAGCAAGGTGGACGGAAGCGAAACGCAGGCCTGCGACACTGATGGGGTGGAATTTTAAAATGTGCCGGGGAGAATACGCCGATATCAAACCGAGAACGCTCTGATGGCCTTGGTTTCAGAAAGGAATATCGCAAGCAGTCGGAATTATGTATCTTGCGTCTAGGGCAAAGAGCAAATGGAGCATGGTCAGGGGTGTCTGTGGCTTTTAGGTATTTCTTATCAGAATGCCTTAAAAGCTGTTCCTGAGGTTCTGAGTATCAAGAAGCTGTACAATAAGGATAGCGCTAGAGCCATTGGACTGCTCTCAGCCTGGTTGCTGCAGGGCATTACATTCATGCAGTCTTTTCATACAACGTGTATAGTGCTATCTCTAGAAAAGCCTGGAATATAATCTATGTTTTCGCTGTAAAACTATATAGAAACCAAAACATATACACTGCGATTCTTGATCTAAAGGCAGAAAGAAGAAGAAAAAAAAGACGAGCCTCTCGATCGGGGAATCGAACCCCGGCCACCTGCGAGCTGGTTAAGCTATCATGACAAGCAGGTATCCTTACCACTAGACCAATCGAGACTAATGCAAGTAAACAAGCGGCTAAGGTCCGGGCACAGGATCCAGCTTATAATAGACACCACAACTACGAAAATACTACTATAGCTCACCTAAAGACCTTTACGTTCACTATATTAACTCTATATCAAGGCTATCGACTCAACTAATCAATAGAAACCAAATGATGATATCACCTGGCACACTCCAAGTCACCACGAACCATTCCCGCAATGCTGGAAGTCGTGCTGGAAGTCAACCGCCAGCCGAGTTGAAGAACAAAGAAGAGCTCGCAGGAAAGAGGACAGCATAATAATATTCACCGGATATCATCAACTCCGTGTTCCTCAAGTGAGAACTCAAAAACCTCATCTCATCCGATCCCAAGGACTAATATATTTGTCTCCCCCTTCGAGCACCGTAAGGCACTCAGGGAAAGAATAACAGAGGTATGTCTAAACAAGTGTACCCCTAGTCCACAGTACTTAACCACAACAACAGTTACCTGGTCCTTAAGCGTCTTCCAGACCGTGGAGACCATCTCTTACTTCTGAAGATCAAATGAGACTCGCGCGTGCCTAATAGGGGCTTCTTTTCCGACGTATTTTCATGTTTATCCTAAATTTACCACGAGCATTCTCATACTAACCTGTGCTACTTTTCCACGCATATCCCGAGTCGACGACACTGCATTTTCGTCTCTGGCCTACATCTCCTCACTAGAAACGGATTTGAGAGTGGTTGGTTAACGGCCCGTGAAGAGTACATTTCATGATTGATCATTTTGTGGGCTTAGTTTTAACAGGCGATCGTACATATGCTTGTGGCTTAGGTACATAATCATGAAGGTTTAGGTTTAGTCTCACGAAGCAGGGTTTATAGCGGCATGCGGTTGAGGCTCAATTGCTGCGGTCTGTGACATTTAAATTGTGATTTGGTTCTTGCTACGTTTGAGCCACCGTGGTTAGGCAGGTGATCTAGGCGTTGAGGTGCGAGAAAGAAGATGGTGATAATGCATGCAAGAGGCACAGCTAGTGTTTCCTATGTTGACCACTAGAAACGACGGCCTGATTGACAGGTATGTGGAGAGGCAGAGGTTTTGAGCACAGTAAATTGCCTACCAATGCCACTTGAGTAGTTTATTGAGTTCATCGTGCCTGCTAGACTATCTACACCATCTCCCTGCAAGACCATGGCGGAGTAATCTAAAGACATTTCGATTTTAAGGGTTCCCTAATCGGACGGCGGGATTCTTCTGGACAAAGTTCAAGTCTACCCTGTGACCCAACAAGTCGCGAATGTTGTTAATGCCATATCTAATCATAGTGGGACGTTCTAGCGATAATCCCCAGCCATATACACGCATGTCCTTACTGTCACAGGAGATCAATTAGTTTTGCCATCGTTCCGAAGATAGCGACGATTCATTGAATCCTTGTGGGACGAGTACTTACGGCAAACCCATTGCCTCAAGCATTTCTGGCCTGAAAATGCCACTGTTTCCTATCTCTACGAGCTTTTTCAGACCGGGATCTGCAATTGGATCGTTAGTGCTTCTTGCATGGAACAGACGGAGGCGGTATTTTCCCGAGAACGCATCAGAGACCAGTTAGATTATGACGAGCGTGGCAGAAGCCCTGTAAAAGAAAAGGAGAACTTGAAAGTGCCATGGAGGATAGGCGTGTACGACCAGTAGTTTAAAATAACATACGATATGAGAAAATTTCCATGCTTGGTTCGGTGTCTAGATGTACATAGTTAGTGTCCAATTCGAGCGTGAGGTGTGTGTAGTACATACAAGGGTTATACGCCGGTTTGTACTTGAGGCCTGTGATACCCATCTTGCCGAAGAAAACATCCATGAACTGGAGCGGTTAGTTTTTGCATATATTATAGAATAATGAGAGACGAACCTCCATAAGACCGCCGAGTGTCAAGTCATAATCAGCGATTATACCCTCCACTTGGTGGAACTCGGCGAGATGGGTGTTGTCGATTGCTTCGTTTCGAAAGACGCGGTCAATGGAAAAATAACGCGCGGGTGGTGGGCGACCATCAGGTCCCTTTCTGGATGACAGTTTGTGCAGCATGCTGGCGCTCACGGAAGTCGTGTGAGTGCGTAGGACCAACCGTTGCGCCTCATCTCCGGACCACGGGTATCGGTATCCAAGTGAGTCGTATTTACCGTCCTACATGTATCAATAACCATTACGGGAAGAGGTCATGGCTTGCGACTCACTTGATGTACGGCTTTCACATTCTCCCAGTATGTGTGGTCAGATGGCATGCCAGCGACTGCCGGGTCAGAGATATAGAACTAGGGGATGTTAGTGAGTCCATTCTAGCAGCAAGAAACGAAGCGCCTTGCCGTGTCTTGTAAGTCGCGGGCGGGGTGTTGCTGCGGCACGAAAAGGGCATCGAAGTTCCAGAATCCTGTCTCGACAAAACTACGAAGGCGATAAGTATTCACTAGCGCTTCCTAAGGTCCTTGGGATGTAGGGATCGCGCGTACCTATCTGTAGGCATCTCTTCAAAGCCCAGTTCGAAGAAGATGTTCCTGATTTCAGCCCGGACTTTGTTCAGAGGATGTAATGCACCTGCGCGTTGGTCGGCGCCTAATGCCTGGAAATTGTAAGGTTTGAAGGTAGTCGTCTTCCAGGATGCGTTGGCTAGCATTTCAGCCGTGAGGTCAGTGGCTTCCTCGGGCAGCTCGAGGGCAAACTTCGGTCCCTTGTTTATCTTGAAGCTTATGACTTTCTGGACTCTGACGAGCTTGCGCTTCTTCAGGTCCGCGAGGACTTTCGGATCGGCGACGGTTCGACTCGTCTTGATGGATTGCAGCTGCTCCTTGGCGGCATCGTGGATGGAGTCGGATACGGCCTTAAGCTTGCCGTCTGGGATTAGAGTGTTAGTAATGATGATTCGAGCGAGCCGCTATGTCTCGTCTTCAATGTCTCGTTGTCTACCTTTGGTTTTGGTGATCCACTTCTCCTTGAAGGCTTTCCCTTGGCCGAGCTTGGAGATATTCTTGTCGCCGATGGTGTTCTCTAACTCCTGGATCGTGAGTCCGTCGACGGCGGCCCGCAGAGCCTCAAAGACACGGGCCTCGTGGCTCCCATGGGTGGCAATCAGTTCGCCTTCGGGCTCGAGCAGGACCTCGTCTCGTTGGATCGTCTCATACTCGACCATGGACCGCGAGCCCAATCGGTCGAGGGCGGCTTTCACATCGGTCGAGCTGCATTCTGGGAAGTGTTCGGTCGATAGAAGAGGACCTTCCGCCTTGTCGAGGGCGTTGAGGATTCGAGACGTCCGCTCGCCGCCTTCTGCCGGAGGATGCGCCATGGTTGGTGTTTCCGCTGCTATGAGTCAATCATGTGTGAATAACGTATTGCCCAAACGGAAACAGGTACCCTTGGAGGGGCTGATGCCAGGTACCGGCCCGCACCCCTCCATCCCTCCACCGCTAAAAAGCCGATAAGATAACGCAATGTTGCTAAAATTTGGCGGTCAGGGGCGGCAGAACCATAGGGGCCGCCACACCTCGGCGATGAGTCAGCAGAGGCTCTTACCTATACTACCTAAGTTCTTATGTTCGATGGATAAGGTATGTACTTGAATATTCTAGTATAACTGATTTATTTACTCACGATATCATTTCTCATAGAATTATACTTACAAAAGATACCATGACTTCAATCGGATGAGATTACTTAATCATTTGATGAAGTCTTCCCAACGATAGCTTTGGTCCGCGTTAGAGTCTTCAGGAGAAGCGCATTCCCGTTCCTCGCTACCTAGGTAACACTCATGATACCCTTAGCAACACTCATGAATACCATCAATGTGTCTTACCTATGCACTTTCTTCAAGGCATATTTGCAAGATAGAATACCTTTTCGAGGCCGCCTTTTTTGTGACGTTTTCTGGTCCGGCGTCCTATCTCCTTCAAGAGCGTCTCTGTTGATTTGCTTTGAAATCCTCTACGACAAGCCTCCTTCAATCGTGTGCCAGAGGTTCGATCTCTTCACGCTTTACCCAATCTTTAGCTCCCCGTGTAATCCGGTCAATAATACCTTGTAGGCTGCATATCTTATCTCATCCTTCTCTGTGGCTAGCTGATCTTCTATTGAAGTTAACCCATGGGCCAGTGCCCAGCCTGGGGCCTAAGTGTTCAAGGGGCAGGCCGGACCTACACTTCATGAGGCCTTAAGGCCTTGGATCCTCTCAATTAATGATAGGTAATCTAGCTATCTTGTTCAAACAGCATCAATTCTATAAAGAATACGCTTTTTTACTAATATTAGTTGTGTCTGTTGCCGTTGCCGTGTGACTCCATTGAGACATCCCCCCTTTATAGCCCCTTTTCGACATAGCCACATGTATGCTGACTAAGCACGTTCTATACACTTCACATGGCTACGCACGAGGGGGATACATTGCATATCGTTTTGTGTAGCTCGTCCAGATACAAACGTTCAGGTCCTCCGCGATTTTCCCGTCTACTTCACGCCAGCTACCCTCTTTTTAGCTAGTTTCTTATTTCGTCCACCTCTCCTCCCGATACCACGCGGATCGTCGAAACGTGCGTTACCCGTCCATATTAAATCGACTCCAGTCAGTCCGCTCAAGTCGAGGCGTTCAGGGTGTCGCAGCGTGATCGTCCATTGGGTAAACGGAGTAGGCTTCGCATGGTCTACGCTGGGCCAAGTAGCGTAAATGTGCGTGTCGCCTTGGTCGCCAGATTCGGTGAGGTCATACGAGAACCGTACGCTCCTGGGGAGGCTAGTGAAATGATAGACGTCCCCGTCTTGGATATCTGCATACACGCCCGACGTCGAGATCTGCATGTCCATGGCGACCTTGCCGTCCTGTATTGCGTCCGGTGCAGGGACCGCTCCGCGCAAGACTACATCTAGCCCGTCCAGCCGGAAATGAGAACCCTCGGTGAAGACACTGGCGAAATTTGGAGCCCTGCTGAGGGCATCGCTGGGTACAAGCGTGAATCTGGCACTATGAGTGTCACC